GAGGTGAGTGGATTGCCTGAGCCCGCAGGTTCCAGACCCGCCTGGGCAACTTGGTGAGACCTCATCTCTAAAATAAATCAAAAACTAGCCAGGCATGGTAGTGTGCGCCTATAATTCCAGTTACTTGGAAGGCTGAGGCGGAAGGATCGCCGGATCCTAGCAGGTCGAGGTTGCGATGGCCGGGAATGGCAACTGCACTCCAGTCTGGGCAACAGAGTGAGACTCCAATTCAAAAAAAAAAAAAGACTCTTAACAAATACAATAGCAGGCTGGACTCGGTAGCTCAGCCTGCAATCCTAGCGCTTTGGGAGGCCGAGGTGAATGGATTGCCTGAGCCCGCAGGTTCAAGACACACCCGGGCAACTTGGCGAGACCTCATCTCTACAATAAATCAAAAACTAGCAGGGCATGACAGTATGCACCTGTAGTTCTAGTTACTTGGAAGGCTGAGGTGGAAGGATCGCCAGAGCCCAGCAGGTAGAGGCTGCAGTGGCCGGGAGTGTGCCACTGCTCTCCAGTCTGGGCGACAGAGGGAGACCCAACTCAAAAAACAAACAAACAAAAAAATAATAGCCAGTGCAGGCATACAAAAGCTAGAACTCAGCTGGAAGAAGAGGCTGAGTTGCATTCATTTTGTGATCTGACAGTTCTAAGGGTGCCTAGATTTTTAAATCAATGGCTCTTTTGGTGCCTGAGTGAATAAGAGGCTGAAAAGGAATTTTTAGCAGTATCTGGGTCCCTACTCACTAGTCATGACTCCGGTTTTGCCCATGACTGGATGGGTGGTAAAGGATGTCCCAGGAAGGCAGACAACACCAATTCATCTCACTTTTTTCACTTTGGAAGAGTCATGTACAACCCCCCAAAGGAGGTAGGAAGCTCCAAAGACTCATGGGAAAATAGGACCCACTGGGTACTGCACAGTGGGACTTAAGGATTCCATTTAGGACCCATTACTCCAGACATCCTCTAACCCCAAGATTCAAGCCAGGCAACTGGCCCTCAGGTAGAAGCTGTGCAGAAAGAGTGAACACAGCCAGCCTGACTGCTATCCTTTTTGAAAAGTCTGCTTCAAAGGTTGGCCCTTGGCTGGCATCTGGAAACTTGGATTTCAGGAGGTTCCCTAAAATGCACAAAAAATATGGTTTCTGATGAATACTTCCTTCTGGGAGTCTGGCCTTTTGGTACATGCCAGCAGAGACTGCCTAAGTAACTAGTCCCCAGAAAAACCTCTGGGCACTGAGTCTTCAATGAGCTCTCCTGGTTTCATGTGTTGTCACAACTTGTTGCTGGGAGAATAACATGCATCCGTGTCACTCTACTAGAAGACTCTGGAAGCTGTGCCTGGTTTCCCCCAGACTTTGTCCCTTGAGCTGAATGCTCTGTATCCTTTTGCTGTAATAAATCTTAGCTCTGAGTACATCTACAAGCTGAGTTTTACGAGTCCTTGTATTCATCAAACCTGAGGTGGGTGTTAGGGACCACAAAAGCAGTTTGAGATTTAAATTTCTGGCAGGTCACAGTACTTACAACAATGTCCTCCTCAGTGACTCGCGGGTGCAGATTATTCACAGTCATCTTGGTGCCTTCCAAAGGGCTGAGGACAGGCTGCCACATAGACAAGGGTGTTACCAGAAGTTGAACAGAAGCATGCACTCACACAACAAAACTTACTCCAGGCACACAAACAAGAAGGCCCAGAGGGGAGCTCCATGGAAAGCTGTCACAACTGGGCCCCTTGGACCTCAGCACCTATCACACCCCCACCACTCTATGCTAAGGGCACAGACCTTCCATCATTTCCCAAATATGCCAGCCTTTCAGGCTCTGAGCCTCTGCCTGGAATGCTAAGCATGCTTCCAGACCTACTCAGTTCAAAAAGTCCTTTCTCCTTAAAGCCTTCTGAGACTTACCATGTGAAATGAGATGCTCTTTCCTCAATACTCCCAGCAGCTCTCTTCTGAGAGAGCCTGTACTGTATCACCAGATAGTGACTGCTCTGCAGGTCTGTTGTCCCCACTAGCTTGCAAGCTCTTTGAAGACAAGAGTCCCTAGGTCTTGGTTTGCTCATCTGTAAAATGGCGATGGCAACACCTACCCCACCCAAGGGTGTTGTGAGGAGCCAGTGGGGGTACATACAGCACACTACCCACCCAGCACAAGCTGACTCTTAACTGGTGTAGTCACCTTCACCTCACCTCAGCAGGTGGCAGCTCTTTGGGGGGTTCCTCCTTGTTCACCAGTGTCCGGGACATGTTGGTCAAGGCTTTTGTTCGAATAGATGAGGGGAGAGCAGGAGCCGTGTAAGCATCATTCTGAACCACTTTGGTGAGAGGGAGAGCCTTGGACATGGAGAGCTTGGAACTACTCAGCCCAGACTAAACAAAGAGACAGAAGGGAACCTGAGAAGCCAGACCTGGACTCTTCCGAGAAGCCCCAAGGGGCTGACAACCTGTTGAAAGCAAGAATTCTTAATGCCTCCTAGCTCTCCAATTCCAATAGAGGCTTGGGACCAAAAAGGCTGCTGACTACAAGTGACATTCCACGGAGAAAGGGTGAACAGGAGAAAAAAACACAGCCTAAGCACATGCTCATAAAGCTATCTTCTATAGTGTTGGAAGCTCTTAGCAGGAAGCCAGACATGACCTGGAAACTCACCCAGGAGCCTCAGGCTCACCAATAATACCACTTAGACTTTCCAAAAACTCTACAATCTGGGGCTGGTCAGAATCAAAATCTTGAGGTCAAGTTCATTCCGAGACATGTGTCTATCACAATGGGCTAAGCTCTAGGATGACTGGGCATAGACACCCACGCTGAAGAAGGGCCAGAACTCAGCTGAGCATGGTGGCTCACGCCTGTAACCCCAGCACTTTGAGAGGTCAAGGCGAGAGAACTGCCTGAGCCCACAGGTCCGAGACCAACCTAGGCAATAAGGTAAAACCTCATCTCTACAATAAATAAAAAAATATTAGTCAAGTGTGGTGGCACACAGCTAGAGTTCCAGCTACTTGGAAGGCTGAGATGGAAGGATTGCCTGAGCCCAGTAGGTCAAGGTAGCAGTTGCTGTGAGCCACTGCTACCCAGCCACCCAGCCTGGGTGACAGAGTGAGACTCCAACTCAAAAAAAAAGAAGGCCCAGAACTCATTTTCTTGGACCCTGTTCTGGCCATACAGAGGCACTACACATAGCCCTGGTCTCATCAGTTCCCAGACTGTCAGGGACTCACTGGTGCTGGCACACGCAGACCATAAAATCAGCCTCTCCCTGCCTGGATGTAATCCCTTGGAAATATAAACCCTTGTATTAATATGTCTGAAGAGAAAGATGGATACAGCATAAATGACATGACCTTGCCGATTCAGGGCAGTGTTTACGGCACTGATCCAGAGAGAAAGGAGGAATGCAGCAGTCAAGGAGGCAAATCAGAGTATGGGCAGGGTGAATTCACCAGAAACATTTACCCCATGCAGGATTTTATATTCCTCAAGTAGCTTTCTTTCTTTTTCTTTTTTTTTTTTTTTTTTTTGAGTTGGAGTCCCATTCTGTTGCCCAGACTGGAGTGCAGTAACACGCTCCCAGCCACCGCAGCCTCAATCTGCTGGGCTCCGGCGATCCTTCCGCCTCAGCCTTCCAAGTAGCTGGAACTACAGGCATGCACCACCACACCTGGCTATTTTTTTTTTTATTTATTGTAGAGATGAGGTCTCGCCAAGTTGCCCAGGCGGGTCACGATCCCACGGGCTCAGGCAATCCACTCCCCTCAGCCTCCCAAAGCGCGGGATTACAGGTTGAGCCACGGAGCCTGGCTCTCAAGTAGCTTTCTAAGACTCCAGAGCCAGAGCAGCACAGTGGTTACACACATGTCCCTGGGAGACAGACTGCTTAGGCTCAAGTCCTACCTAGATCCACTACTGAGAATCAGTTGTGTGATGCTGAGCAGACTTATTTCACCTCTCTGCTCCCTCATCCACAAAATAAGGACTATAATAAACAGCACCCATCTCACAGGGTGGGAGTGGGGAGGAGTCTTACATGAGTTAACATAAATATGGCACTTTTAAAATTAGGGTTGTCGCCGGGCTCGGTAGTTCAGCCTATAATCCCGCGCCTTTGGGAGGCTGAGGTGAGTGGATTGCCTGAGCCTGCAGGTTCGAGACCCGCCTGGGCGGCGAGACCTCATCTCTAC